ATTAATACTATCATGCATATTTAAAATTAAAATGAGTTTGTTAGCCACATAATATAATAAATCTCAATTGAATAAGAGATCATTATCATTATTGGTGAACAATCCCTTTTAATTAATGCGGGTCCCTCAACTCTATAGCATAATGAATCAACCAATCAATATGTCAATAACTTATCCTGTTGGAGGAGTACATTATTACTATTGTAGAGATTCATTTGCTATTAGGTGAGCACTTCCATAATAATATGTGGGTCCCTTAACCACTGCATGAAAAATCGGATAACCAATACGCCAATAACTTATTCAGTTGGCGAAGTTCATTATTGCTATTGGCGGGCTCCCTTAACCACTGCATGAAAAATCGGATAACCAATATGCCAATAACTTATTCAGTTGGCGAAGTTCATTATTGCTATTGGCGGGCAAATCCCATCATCTCCATATCTCTTAAGACAATGCATTGTCTATCTATATGAAATGATTCCCGATTATGTTTAGCCTTTCTAAAATCACCTAGTATAGACCACTCCGTTAGGGAGCTAGCACTATTGATTTTAGATTGAGTGTATAACGTTATTAAAGCTCTAATGAAAAATAAAACATTAAATATCTTGTCATTATAATCTAGACCTTTAAATCATGCGTAGGGCCTTATTTTTAAAGATTTAATTACAATGAACATTTAATATTTTTATTTTCATGAGACAACCATTCTTGTAATATTAAGACTCTTCAAATCATGCGTGGGGCCTTATTTTTGAAGATCTAATTACAATGGTGTTAATAACGAAGGCCATGGGGCAATGTATAAAAATTTCCGCTCCCACTCAATTTTTAATCATTCATAATTAGGGTTTTCATTTTATTCATTTACATGATATAATGCATGCAAAATGTCTTGATTTTAATCCAATTAAATTTAGAAAATATTTGGACTTTAAATGATTCACTAATATTTAATTTGAAGCACACTTTAAAAATAATTTACAAAAATAATTTTTTGTTTCCCAATAAGTGCCCTCAAATTAATTAGTAATCAAATCCAATTAATTTTCATAATTTAATTAATATAAATCAAGTCATTTAATTAAATATCATGGATCCAATGCATGAACAATAATTATAAACAATTAATTATTCTATACATCAGATAAATAAATAAATAACAGATAAAGCAAATAAAATGGCCAATGGAATCAACTTTTAACATTTAATTGCTCTAAGAATTGCGCAAGGGTCTTCCATCGGCTTGCAAACACCCGCAGGAGGCTGTAACCTGACCCCACGTGCCACCAGACACAATTGGATGCCTTAAAATTAATCGGACGCGCATATACGTGCTTAGGAAGGTTCCCAACGCCTGCCACGTGCCCTCACGCGCTGGTGGGGCCTTGCAGCAAGTCTCACGCGCTTGTACGCGTGTCTGGGAATAGCCGGCGCGTGGAACGCGTCGGCACGTGCCTTTTGGCTCCGGCTTGACCAGGCGCGTGTTCCTCACGCACCTGGCTCGTGTTCCTCACGCGCCTGGCTATTGGTGCTCATGGTGCGCACTGTCTCTGCGTCGCACCGGATAGCTTCCCGCCGCATCCCTTGATCCAATGGCTACTAATCCGGGCGCACGGTACTAAGGTGTGCCGCGCCACTCTGTATCCCATAGCCTCCCTCCAGCGCTGTTCTTGCCGCCGGCGAAGCTCTGGCGACTGGAAAATGGCCGTAAATTGCAAAAAAATCAGAAAAAATTAAATAAAGCCCTAAAAAATTCCAGAAAAATTCCGAAAAATTCTGAAAAAATTCCAGAAAATTCCTGAAGCCTAATTTAACCCTGTTGGACCTTCTTGAAGCTTCATAGCATCCTTTGACGAAGATTACATGGCTTTAAAAATATTTACAATTTGAAATATAATGGAAAAAATTAAATTACATCATTGAACTTTCAAACGGCTAAATCAAAGCCTTAATTACATTCATCCAAAGATAAAATTACATTTAAATAACCTATAAGCTTCATCCATGGCCCAAACACACATCATCATTCATTCACAATTATACATACATCATTATGCATCAATATATATCAATATATTAAATCATATATTAACATACATCAATAAAAACATATATGTATATAATTTTGGATCCATGAATGATGAATTTTGATAAAAACATGATCTCTAGTAATGAATCAAACCATGCTCTGATACCACTGTTGGGAAACGTTCAAGTTTTAAAAACTTTTCGAGGGATTTTGATTCATAGATCTTGATTCATTACATAGAGACACGTTTTATGTAAAAATAAAATATGATGTCTCATTCAATAAAACTAGATTGAATACTTACATCAAAGGTCTGAGTAAACCTTTAAATCTTTCCTCTAAAGTGAATGTTCTCACTTATTGTAAATCCCTTAGCAAGATGCCTTCTCCTAGGATCTCCATCTTCTTGTTAATTATTTTGCCTTTAGGAATCACTCATATGCCTCCATGAATGACCTTGAAAAATTAGGCTTGTGGAAGCCCCCATTAAATGAGAATATAAACCCTAATTTTATAGAGAGAGAAAATAAGTTCTTATTTCCTTCTTCCCAAAAAATCACCCCTAAAATATACATAGACCATGTATATTTATAGGCAACATAAAGATAAAGAAAAGGAAACAACAAATCATTCTCAATCTCTAATTCACATGTCTCAAATCTAATATGATTCCAATATCAAGTTGGGCTATAAGTGAGAATCCATTGGGCCTATTATTCTATTGGCTACAATGAATTAATAATTGGCCCGGTCCATGGGCCCAATTCAATTAATTCATAAATTAATTTCTACTCCACTAAAAGAAATTAATTAAACTCCAATTAAATAATAAATAACCTCTAAGTCAATATTGCACTTTAACCCCTCTATGCATAATTAGTTATCGGATAAATAAAGCCATCAATCCGACTACTTAATTAATATATTTATTTTGGTACCTTTGATTATTTCTGATTCGATCACAATAAAACATTTGTTTGACAAAAATAATAATTTAAATAAATAAATATATAATAAATCATTTTGTCTAAAAACACACGAAGGCCTTCGAATTTACTTTGTGATCAATCATAATCAATACAAAATAAATACAAGTAGCAGTGATGCAAATATTGAAAATATAACCTTCTAACTATTAATTACATAACTACCTAAAGTGTCGGTCTAAGAATCCCGAAGAATCTGCCGAACAAATCAAAGTAATTATTAATTAATAAAAGAGTCTATACTTTTCTCATGCTTAAGAGTCAAATGCCATGAAGGTGATAGGGAGCAATTGCATACGACGGCTCTCGCAATATATCTTAACCTAATGCGGATTCAGTTTAAGTCTTAATTAATTATGAGTCCATCCATAATTACTGACTATGAATAATTTATGATTACTATTTATAATCATGTATTGATCGCCATCACATACATATATAAATATCTTTTGTAATCAAGTGGACACTTTTAATTCTATAATGAATCGAAACATAGTACATTGAATTCACCAATTGTATATAACATAAATATTTCAGAAACGTCAGGAACATATGTCACTATAATCCAGATAGGAATTTGCTATGCCAGGGCATATAAATCCCAACAAGGCCTACTATAAATACTGCTCTTCTCATGCTTAGTAGTGTCCAAACTAATATGCCTACTTATTCCGTGTGAAGTTTCAAAACTTCTGACTCCAAAGCAACCTGCATTTACTGAAACACGGGGTCTCTCAAATGTACATCTTTTTAACAAAGCCGAAGGAAATACTCTGTGAACGGTGTAACTATTACAATTATTGACGGTCGTTAGCATGCAAATTCTTGTCTTTTTTTTTTTTCTCTTACTATATAGACCTTTAATTACTCTCTAATTGAATATAAATAATATAGTTTTGTGTTACATAATGTTTTCATCCACCCTATTCAGAACAAAGTGTTTGCCTTTATCCTTCCACATTGTTTCTTTTGAGAAAATCCTCTATGTATTATTCACTCAAATCTTGTATTCTTCGTCTTTAATTAGCCAACTGTGCTACAAATTTTAGGTCTTTAGACAACAACAACTTAAGCATAAATGGATCTTCTTTAAAACCTTGTTCTCGTACTCTACTGTTTCTGTTTAGAGTTCTTCACAGCCACTGACAAAATTACATCCATTCACCCCATTAATGGCCCTTGATAGTATATAAGGACGTCTCATTTATCGGTGTGGTGTGGGTCGCAAACAGGGACAAACCTCTTCATGATTCTTCTGGGAGTCTGGCTATATCTGAAGATGGGTAAACTTGCGGTCATGGATGGACACAAACAAATTGTTTGGTCATCAAATGTTACAAATTCTTCGGGTAAATTCAAGTGCCCATCTTTTAGATTCTGGGAACCTTGTATTGCGAGATAACTTTGGTGGAAGCATAGTATGGAAGAGTTTTGAACACCCTTCTGATTCTTAGTACCAACAAATATACAGAGGCGAAGACTCTGCTCGATCACCTCATGGAAAAGCTCTTCTGATCCATCTACTGGAACCTTCACTTATGGTTTGAATACTTTGCATATGCCAGGAGTATATGTATGGAATGGTAGTCATCCGTACTGGCGGAGTATGTGGTAACTCAATCCACTTCATCGCCGTCACCCAATCCGACCCACGACCACCACTTCTCAATCCGACCCACGACCACCACTTCTACCACCATCATCACCACCCAATCCGACCCCCGACGAGCCTAATTGAACCAAGAGGAACCGTAAATCAAACCCAATTCACAGACACATAGTATCTCTCAAACCCCCAATCCGAAACCCCATACATATATACACACAGGTTTCGCTCTCCTGTGATGAGAAATGAAGTGAGAAGGAGATGATGCCTTCAACAGCTGCAACTGCCTTTGAGTTCGAATGAATCAGTGACTGGTTCGTACTGTGGAGGTCCTCTCCTCGGCGTTTCTGTACGTGAGGTGTGACCGGGCTCCATGGTCGTGTCCTCGGGCTTTGCGCTACCAGTCGTCGAGTTTGGTGAGATTGAGAGGTTGGGTATGTGGTGGATGATGAGGGCGAAGATGAAAGTGAAGGTGGAGGTGGTCTCGGGTTCGGATCTGGTATTAGCTGATTCGTGGTGGAGGTGGAGGTGAACCTAAGTTGGGGTGGTTGTGGAGGTTGCGGTGGTTGTGGCCGGTGAGTGGAGATAAAGAAAGAGGTTGTGGCCGGTGGTTGGCGATGGTGGTGTTGGAGTTGGGGGTTTCACTTAGGCTAGTTTGGTCATTTTAAGTGGTCAAAAATATCATAATTGGGGGTGTCTTTGGGTGTCATTGATGACTTCATCTTTTGTTTGGTTTTTTCCCTTAATTTGCTTTCTTTCACATGAATCTGCCAAGAGTGTTGTAGATAAGACAGGTTTTGAAGCATCTTTTAGCTTTGAAAACAATGAATTTTTAACTGTGGGTCCTCCATCCAGTGGCCGAGGACCCTTCCCGCTCCCATTTGGTTCAAAGTTTTCGGCGTTTTTTTGGTCAACAATGGAGAGTTGAATAGTTGATGCATGGAAGTCCTTTGGCTATAGTTGAGAAGAACATCACATATTCCATCTTCACCAAACAAGAAGCACTCAACACAGCCATGGTACGTCCAAGTTTCATCTCTGTTCTCATATTTTACTGTTCTTGTAGTATCAAATTTTGCACCGCCATAGACACAATTACATCAACTCAACCCATCCATGACTCTCAAACTATAGTCTCCAGTGGTGCCACCTTCAAACTGGGATTTTTTAGCCCTAGTGTTAATTCTTCTAACCGGTATGTTGGTATCTGGTACAACGACATCTCTGCCAAGGAAGTGGTTTGGGTTGCGAATAGAGATACACCTCTGTTTGACTCCTCTGGGATTGTGACAATATCCGAGGATGGCAATCTTGTGGTCCTGAATGAACAGAAACAGATTGTTTGGTCATCAGATGTTCCAAATGCTTCGGTGAATTCAAGTGCTCAGCTTTCAGATTCTGGGAACCTTATGTTGCGAGATGACTCCAATGGAAACATAATATGGGAGAGTTTTGAACACCCTTTTGATTCTTTGTTGCAGGGGATGAAAATTAGTACTAACAAGTTTACAGGTAAGAAGACTCAGTTGACCTCATGGAAAAGCCCTTCAGTTCCATCCAGTGGAAGGTACACTTTTGGCGTAGGATATTCTACGAATATTCCAGAGTTATATGCTTGGAATGGTAGTCTTCCATATTGGCGGAGTGGTCCATGGAATGGGCAGATTTTTATTGGCATGACTTACACGTCGTCTGCATACTATAGAAGATGTGAAGTTGCAGAGGATAAAAGGGGAAATGTATATATGGGTTACACTTATGCAAATAAGTCCTCTCAGTTATACTATACCACAAGTTGTAATGGAACTCTATTGGCGAGGTACCGGGAAAAAGGAAAGGAGACTCGGGAAACTACGTGGGTGGTTCAAAATACTGAATGTGAAGCATATGGCAAGTGTGGTCCATTTGGAAGCTGCAATGCGAAGGGTTTTCCAATTTGCACATGTTTACAAGGGTTTGATCCGAAGGATATGGAGGAATGGAGTAGAGGGAATTGGGCTAGTGGATGTACAAGGAGCCGGCAATTGCAGTGTGAGAGAAACAATAGTGGTGGTGAAAAAGGCAAACAAGATGGGTTTTTAAAGCTCAAGACAGTGAAAGTGCCAGCCTTTGCTGCGTTGGTATTTGCTTCAGAAGACAACTGCAAAAGCCTGTGCTTCAATAATTGTTCTTGTATAGCTTATGGATATTATAGTGGCATTGGTTGTTTGCAGTGGAGTGGACAATTAATTGACATACAGGAATTCTCCTATGGTGGGGCAGATCTTTACATACGTGTGGCATATTCAGAACTAGGTATTGTTTTTTCGTCATCCTTATAAAAAGAATGTGCCTCTTTTTTTGCTTCTATTTATTTTACTTGTTGATTCAGATAAACAAGTATCACTTGAAAATAAACCAATGCACATACTTAACATGTTAGCCACCTGATATCCGTGAACTGGTTTAGAAAAAGGCTAAATCTTTTTTAATAGTATATGTGTAATAAATTTTCCCATTTGCTCACAGAAAAGGAGAGCCATGGAAATTGTCTAAATTCTCAGTTCTTTGAGTTAAATCCATATTAACTCAAGTACTTTCTCAATGTTTGTTGTGTTTTACAAAAAAAAAAGAGAAGCACAAAACTAGTTATCGCAATTGCAGTTCTCATAGGATCAGTAACCATTGCAATCTGTATCTATCTTTTCTTAAGGTGGATGGCTAGACCACGAGGTACATGCTTATTAAAATTAGCTCAATATATTATTAGCACATATTTTTAGTTATTAAATGGATTACCGATTGCTAAATTTTGAATCAGGAAGGAAAAAAAAAAGTGGGAAGTTATTTAAAAGAGGGGAAGTTGATGCAGATTGTTCAAATGAAAGCATGCTTGGAAATTATCATAACCAAATTAAACTTGAAGAGCTACCTCTATTCAGTTTCAAGACGCTGGCAATAGCAACAGATGATTTTGATGGGGCCAATAAGCTCGGGCAGGGTGGTTTTGGTCCAGTGTACAAGGTAGTGCTTGTTCATCTAGAACTTTACGATATACCAACCCAAAAAAAAAAAAAAAAAAAAAAAATCATTTTCATCTTTAATTTCAGGGAAAATTGCCAAGTGGACAAGATATAGCTTTCAAACGGCTTTCGAGATCCTTTGGACAAGGGCAGGAGGAGTTTATGAATGAGGTTGTAGTAATTTCCCAACTCCAGCATCGTAATCTTGTTAGGCTTCTTGGCTGTTGTGTCGAAGAAGCAGAAAAGATGTTGATCTATGAATACATGCTAAATAAAAGTTTGGATGCATTTCTCTTTGGTTAGTTCATGATAAAAGCTCTTGATGTTATTTTTAGTTATTTCAGTTTCATAACCTTAACATTAGTAGAAGCTCTTGATCTTATTTTTAGTTATTTGAGTTTCAAAACCTTAACATTAGTAGAAACTTTACAGAATTATTTTCTAGTTATTTCAGTTTCAAAACCTTAACATCAGTAGAAACTTTACAAAATTATTTTCTAGTTATTTCAATTTCATAACCTTAACATCAGTACAAACTTCGTTGTGTTGAGAAGACAGAATTGTTTGTGAACATACTGATCTTCTAAAACTTTAAATTCCATCTTAACATCAATTTAACCCATTTTTTTTTTCTTTTTTTTTTCTTTCTTCAATATTCTCTCAGATCCAATCAAGCAAAAACTCCTAGATTGGAGAACACGTGCCAACATTATTGAAGGGATTGGTCGAGGACTACTTTACCTTCACAGGGATTCCAGATTAAGGATTATTCATAGAGATTTGAAGGCTAGTAATATTCTATTGGATGGAGATCTAAATCCAAAAATTTCAGATTTCGGCATAGCAAAGATTTTTGGAGGGAACCAGGACCAAGCAAATACTAAAAGGGTTGTTGGAACTTAGTAAGTAGTCTCTGCTTTGTCCAAAATGGTTAATCATTCATGTTATAATCCTTTTTTCTCATGGGATATAGTTCAACTCAAATATTTTTACCATTTGGGCTGTAATGACACAATGCGGCTGCTATATGGCCCCTGAATATGCAATGAAAGGGAGGTTCTCGGAAAAATCTGATGTGTTTAGCTTCGGAGTATTGTTGTTAGAGATTTTAAGTGGGCGAAAGAACACTAGCTTTTATAATGATGAGCACTCTTTAAGCCTTTTGGGATTTGTAAGTTCACTTGAACTTTGCCTGAGTTACTCCATGTAGTTCCTTTTAATCTTTCTAATTTTAACATTTCATGGTTGTGGAATGTGTGACTGAGTTACTCTATATTGTGTCCAGGCATGGAAGTTGTGGAATGAAGATAGGATTGCAATTCTAATAGATCCAACTATTTCTGATCCATGCTTCCAAGTGGAGATCTTGAGATATATACATGTAGGACTTCTGTGCGTACAAGATTTCGCCGCTGATAGGCCTACTGTAAATACTGCTCTTTTCATGCTTGGTAGTGAAGTTGCAAAACTTCCAACACCAATGCAACCTGCATTTTCTGAAACACAAGGTCTCTCAAATGTACGGTCATCTCAAGAAAGCCAGAGGAAATATTCTGTAAACAATGTAACTATTACAATCATTGACGGTCGTTAGCATGCAAATTCTTATGTATATTTTTTTTCTCTTATTATATAGACCCTTAATTGTTCTCTAATTGAATATAAATATTATAGGTTTGTTTTACATAATGTTTTCATCCACCCTATTCAGAACTAAGTGTTTGCCTTTATCCTTTCATGTTGTTTCTCTTTTCAGAAAATCCTCTATGTATTATTATTCACTCAAATCTTGTATTCTTTGTTTTTAATTAGCCAACTGTGTTACAAATTTTAAGTCATAAGGCAACAACAACTTAGCAAAAATGCATCTTCTTCAAAACCTTGTTATTGAGCACATAAATACCTTTTCTTGATGGTAAAAGTGGTGAGTGTGATTTTTTATTTTTTTTTTCTTTTCTTCCAATTTTTTTGGATTACTCTACCTTCACAAGGATTCCAGATTAAGGATTATTCATAGAGATTTGAAGGCTAGTAATGTTCTATTGGATGCAGATCTAAATCCAAAAATTTCAGATTTCGGCACAACAAAGATTTTTGGAGGGAACGAGGACCAAGCAAACACTAGAAGGGTTGTTGGAACTTAGTAAGTAGACTCTGCTTTGTCCAAAATGGTTAATCATTCATGTTATAATCCTTTTTTCTCATGGGAAAGTTCAACCAAATATTTTTACCGTTTGGGCTGTAATGACACAATGCAGTGGCTATATGGCCCCTGAATATGCAATGGAAGGGAGATTTTCGGAAAAATCTGATGTGTTTAGCTTCGGAGTATTGTTGTTAGAGATTTTAAGTGGGCGAAAGAACACTAGCTTTTATCATGATGAGCACTCTTTAAGCCTTCTGGGATTTGTATGTTTAAAATGAGTTTTTTTCAAATTCTCTCGCGAGTCACGTAGAAAACTCGATTTTGGGAGGGTTTTCTTTTTCATGTTTTTCCAAAAAAATTCATCTTCTAGCCCATTTCCGCTCTCAGATCATGACAGTCACTATAGCAACTCTAGCCCTCTTGTTTAGTTCCGATCTAGGGGCATTTCGGGAATTTATTTTGAAAATTAAATTCCGGTCTTGACATGGTCACATAGAAAACGTGATTTTAGAGGGGGTTTCTTCACAACATTTTTCGGGAAAATGTCATCTCGGACCCGAAAACCTTGCGTCAAATCTGATTTCCTGTGCGCACTTACACTATTTGAAAAAGTCTGTTGTAAGGGCATTTTGGGGATTTCACGTCAAAAATAAAATTTTCTTTTGACATGGTCAGCTTGGAAAAATTATTTTAAGGGGGGTTTCTTCTTCATGTTTTTCCAGAAAACATCGTTTAGTACCTCAAAACGGCACCCGTACTTCAGCATTTTGCCCAGGTTACTATTCACGGCCGCGGTGACGTTAAAACTTTGTTTTGACTTTTCTCTCCCATCCGAACTCCAAATCAAGTGATTCTGGAGTCTAACTTGGTTAATTTTTTGCTGTCTTCTCAGTGGTGTGCTCGATAGTACCCGATTTTATATTTTTAAGAAATGACCATTTTGCCCTTGGGGCTATTTTTGTCCGATTTTCTTGTAATTCGCTTCCGCTAATTTCTTTTGAGTTTCGTGAATTTATAGGATGTTACGGATGTGTTTTGAGAATGATATACACTCTAGGGACGTCATTTTCATGTAAAATAACTATTTTGCCCCTAGGGGCTTAATTATTATTTTTCCGATCTTTTACTTCTGCATCAGTTCTCATTGAGTTTCACGACCTCATGGAAGGTCATCAAAGTGTCTTAGAGGTGTGTTGTGCCTTGGGAGACCGTTGACTTGTTTCTTGTTTCTGCATCTGGATTCACTATCGGGTCAATCTTTGGTTCATCATAGGACGCGCTGGCCTAAAAACCAGGGTCGTTACGAGTAGTATCAGAGCGTCCGGGTTCGAATACCTTGGATGACGGGTTTTGGGTGCATATCATGTTTGCGTTGCCATACTCTACGTGTTTAAATGCTTCTTGGAAACATGTTTTGTTTGATAACATGTCTTGTTTGATAACATATCTTATTTGATAACATGTTTTGATTTGATAACATGTTTGGTTGCTTAAGTGGCACCTTGAGTCGGTAGTCTATTGCTATGTTGGATGCTAGCTGTTTACTTTCATGTCTGGTTTTGGCATTTTCACTTGGGGTCTGTCGTATCCCTTAGATGCATTCTTGTTTTATGAGTTTCTTCCTTAGATAGGAGGAATTCATTCTGTAAGGACTCATGTCGAGAACCTTCTTGTCTGTTTCCTTGGTTGGGTGTTTCGAGACCTTAGTCTGTCGATTGATGCGAGAAAGCTCATGTAAGCGTAGAGGACTGCGATTTATTTCCTTCTCCTTGTTTGGTGGAGTGAGACGTGGGCCAAGGAGGCACCGTTTCATTTCATTTTCCTTCGTGGCTTCTAGATTTAAGGCCTTAAGCATAGCGGTGCCTATGACATTATTGTTAAAGTTTTGGGATTAGCTACCCCAACTCTCGCAGATGCCTGGTTCCCGTGGTGCTTTTGGTAATGATCATTTTCGACATTGATGTCATTCGTATCAATAGGTTTCTCAGAGTTGACCTGGTTTTGGGCATGTTATGGAGTAGTGCCATATACTGTCATGCTACCTTGCTGACGAGTAAGTGTGGGCGGGTTTTGGTTACTGTTCGTACTGCCTTGTCACTTTTTTCTTCTATCATGTTTCAACCTTTCGTTGTCTTAGGATTCTCTCAGTAGTTGACGTTGAGTTAACATGCCAATTCGTATAAGGTGTTGTCTCGATTCGTGGTTTCGCGTTCCTTTAGTAGATCTTGAGACTTCTAGAGTTGTCCTTCAGTGCCTTATGATTTGTCCTTTGGTTTGACCTTTTGTTCGGTCCCTGTTCTGTTCTCTTCCGGTATGTTCCAAATTTCGGGGACGAAATTTCTTTAAGGAAGGTAGGTTGTAATGACCCGGTCATTTTCCTTCCTTTCCTTTATCTTTAAATTTTACGGATAAATTTTTTCCGTTTAATTTTCTTTTCTGAGTTCTGTTTCTTGTCACATAGTTTCTCTCGAGTGCTTGGAATTGGTTTCTGAGACTTTTTCATTTGGATTGATAACTTCCTTTGAGGACCGAATCATTTTCACATTTTCACTTTTCAGACACTATTCACTTTTTGTCTTTTTCCCTATTTCGTCATTTTCCCTATTCTGTCTTTTCCCCGTTTGTCACTTTGTTGGCAAAACCTCACCCTTCGTGCTCGGAGTTAGTTTTTGACTTCACCTGTCTTCATTCTAAGTGGTTTCCATGAAATACCTATCTTCACTTTTGTGATAAAGTACTCTGGTTGCTCCTGGTGTCCATAGGGGTATGGATGCATAATTCTTTGGAATTATTTTCTTTTCTTGGGGTGTTTTTCGTAAATATCTTTTTAAGATATTTTATTTTAGGGATATCTAAGAAAATATTTTTGGAAGATATTTTCGTTCTGGGGCATTAGTGCAGTTTTCACTTTTTAGAGGGGCCATTGTGCAATTAACGAAAGTTATTGCAAAAATACCTCGTCTGGAGCCTGGATCCTCGCACGGGATTCATTTTCACATTTCGTTGAATCGTGTACTCTTAGAATTTCGTTCTAGTCGTTTTTCTCCAGTTTCAGAGTTTCTGACCCCAGTTGCCGCAGAACTTGTTCGGGCCATATCTCTCTGCTCAGGACTCGGTTTTTGATGCCGTTTCTTCCGTTGTTCATATTTTCTCATTTTGAATCTTTTTTGTTTACAGAGTTTTGTCATTTGAGAGTGTTTGCTCAAAATCCACTTTTCCAGACCTGGCAAGACCCTTTCGGGGCACTTTTTGAGATTTTCTATAAATAGGGGTCCTAAAGTCAAAAAGTCAGAACTCTCTCTCTCCCCTCTCTTCTGGCCGGAGTCCATGGCAGCCATGGCTACCACCTCCTCTCTCCTCCTTTGAACCACTTTTCCTTGGCGAAAAGTCTTCGGCCTTAACGTTTATTGTCCCCTCAACGTGCTCTATCTTTCACCCTTATTAGAACCCATTTCTGACCAAATTTTGAGTTCGGGTTTGAAGTCAACTTGTGATTTTCATGGGGCTTCTTGTGGATTCTTGTTCATCGTGTTGTCCCCGACAAAACCCTTTGGTATTGTCGGATTCAGAGCACTTTTTTTATCTGTGGGCCTTTGAGGTTTTCATCTCAAATTGAGGTAGGGGGTGTTATAATTTACTTTCTTATTATATAGCATGCTATGGATGCTTATACAACTTGTTTACATGCTATGATATTAAATCTAGAACTTTTGATTATTTATTTTCTAGTATGAGATTTGATTTTTCCGGTTGCTCATAACTTTGTTTAAACATATGGCATAATAGAATATTACCCCTTGATATGTTGATTAACATATATTAAATCTAGATCATTTGGATAAGTAACGAAGATTTTATTTAATATTTATCTTGAATAAAATATTAAATCATGTTGCCTTAATTAGCTTGAAATCAATATGTGTTAGCATATTATGTTAGGCCCTAGCATGCTCTTAAACATAGGTGAATTTGAGAGTAATCGGAAGTGTTTTAAAATCTAGAGAATAGTTAATTAATTTATTCCATGCGTACTATTCACTCAATTTGAATTCCGACTTGATATTCTTGATATGCATGTCATATAGTTTCACATATATTAAATCTAGAATATTTGATTAAGTTTTGAAACTTTTCATTTATTATTTTTCTAGTATTAAAGTTTAATAGCCATGGCCGTACATTGCATGGAAATCACTTGTATCGTGCTAGTAAATCAAGTCTTGACAAGTTGCATAATATACATTAAATTGAGATCATTTGGATGAATTTCAAAATTTAGAGATTTTAATTAAAATGATTAATTAAAATCAATTCAATGGCTCCTTGGTCTTGATTAAGTTTCTAACTTAGTATCCATGCTTTCCTTGACAAGTTCGCTCACATGTATCGAATTAAGAATAATCGGATAAGTTTTGAGACTTGCATTTATTTATTTCCTTTGTATGAAA